AGAGCTAATGAATAATTTATAGTTGAATTTACGAGTAAAAGTAAAAATTTGCTCTCTCACCACGTATAAGTTATGAGCTATTCTTTTTATAATCTAACTAATTAAGGCAAGAGGTATGTTTGAATAAAAATTGATACCAAATAGACTTTTAAATTAGTTACCCGTGACCAAGATGTTTTATGCAATCTTTCTTCTTTAGTTTAGACGATATGTATGTTGCTAAAGAAGATTTATTTGTTAAAATAAAAACAGAATTAGTTTTGAATCAATCTTTATTTGTTAGTTAGTGTTAATTTAAATAATTCCTATTTTTAAGGATTTAGATAGTTATTTCCTAGTTTATCTCACATCATATTTGTAGAATGTAAGTTGTAGTTTTCTTTCCTGTTACTTCTTGTAAAGTTATATATAACCGTATCAGTTTATCAAATAATGCAGTAGCAAAAGCATTTTTCTCTATTTCAATACCTTAAATACTCAATAATTGGTATCAGAGCTCTGTTAAAGGGCTTGATTCTAAATAGAGTGTTAGAGAAAATATGGCAACCGAGAATGGATTTGTGCAACCAACTATTCCAAAGTTTGATGGTCAACACTATGACCATTGGAGAATGCTTATGGAGAATCTTTTGTGATCAAAAGAATATTGGAGTTTGATTGAAGATGGAGTACCTACAGAAGCAGAGGGAGTTCAATCTAGTGAAGCACAAAAGAAAGTTATTGATGATGCAAGGCTAAAAGATATGAAGGCAAAAAATTATCTCTTTCAGGCCATCGATAGATCAATTTTATAGACCATTTTGAACAAAGATACAGCTAAAAACATATGAGACTCCTTGAAGAAAAAGTATTAAGGGACAGCACGAGTGCAACAAACACAACGACAAGCACTTCAAAAGGAGTTTAAGATGCTAAACATGAAGGAGGAAGAGTTTGTTAATGACTATTTTGCACTCACCCTTGCCACTGTCAACAAGCTATGTATTAATAAGGCAAAAATAGATGATGTGGATGTTGTCTCAAAAATATTGAGATCCATGGAACCTAGGTTCAATTACATAGTGTACTCTATTGAGGAATCAAATGGTTTGGATGCCCTTACAATTGACGAATTGCAAAGCAGCCTTCTAGTTCATGAGCAACGCATGAAACCTCAAACTGTAGAAGAGCATGCCTTGAAGGTTACCCAAGATGACTTTTTAGAAGGAAAAGGACGAGGTCATGGTGGAATACAAGGACGAGGAAGAGGTAAATGCAGACGTAATTTTAATAAAGCAACCATTGAATGCTACCACTGCCATAAACTTGGACATTTCTAATATAAATGTCCAACCAAAGAAACAAATTCAGCAAATTATGTTGCAAGTGAAGAAGAGGTGTTGTTGATGGCATACATGAAGGAAGAAAAAGTTAGCAAAGAAGAACTGTGGTTCCTAGACTCTGGATGCAGCAACCATATGTGTGGCAAGCGTGATCTTTTTGTTGATCTAGATGAAGGCTTCAGAACAACAGTGGCATTGGGAAACAACTCAAGCATGAATATGATGGGAAAGAGTATTGTTCGAATGCTAATAAATGGTACTGCACATATTCTTACTAATGTATTTTATATTCCTGGATTAAGAAACAACTTATTAAGTATTGGTCAGTTGGAGGAGAAGGGGCTTGAAATTCTTATACAACGAAGAGTATGCAAAATTTATTACCTAAAAAAAGGTTGATTTTGGAGATAACAATGTCCTCAAATCGAATGTTCAAGTTATCTGCAAAAACACAATTGAAGAAGGAATCATTTTTCAGCACTTTGACAAAAGATATGGTTAGACTTTGGCATTTCAAATATGATCACTTAAGCTTCACAGGTCTGAATACACTTCAACAGAAAGGAATGATGTGAGGTTTGCCTTGCCTTGACACCTCATCACAAGTATGTACAGACTGTCTCATGGGAAAGCAATAAAGAAATTCATTTCCACATGTTGCCACGTAGAGAGCATCACAAATTCTTGAATTAGTGAATGCTGATATTTATGGACCAATCAATCCAATATCCAACAATGGAAAAAGGTAAGATTAATTTTATTGATGACTTTAGTAGAAAAATATGGATCTATTCTTGGTTGAAAAATCTAAAGCTCTTTTGACTTTTAAAAATTATAAAAGTAAAGTTGAGAAAGAGACTGGTTTAGCCATAAAAGGACTTTGTACAGACTGTGGGGGTGAGTTCATATCGCTTGAGTTTGCTAATTTTTGCAATGAGAATGGTATTCAAAGGCAGTTGACAACCCCCTATACCCCTCAACAAAATAGTATAGCTGAATAAAAGAATCGAACAATCATGAATATGGTTCGAAGCATGCTTTCTGGATAAAAAATGCCAAAAACATTTTGGCCTGAAGCTGTAAATTGGATAATTCACATTCTTAATTGGAGCTTAACTTTTGTGGTAAAGAACAAAACTCCTAAAAAGGCTTGAAGTGGATTCAAACCATCAGTGGCTTATTTCAAGGTATTTGAATGTATATCTCATGTCCATATTCCTGAATGTAAGAGGATAAAGCTTGATGATAGAAGTAAAAATTGTATTTTTCTTGGGGTCAGTGAGGAGTCAAAAGCATATAGGTTGTATGATCCTATTTCTCAAAGGATTATAATAAGCTAAGATGTAGTGTTTAAGGAAGACAGTAATTGGGATTAGGGTCAAAATCATGTGGAGGATATTTTGGCTGACTTGGATTGGGACGATGATGACAAAAGAGCAGATACAATACTTGAAACAATTGAAGAAGGAACCGAAACAAATGAAAACAACAATAGAGAACAAACAGAAAATGCACCTAGCTTGAGTGGAGAGCAACCACGTGAACGTAGGATGATAAGACATCTAGCTTGGATGAGCGATTATATAAGTGGAGATGATTCATTTGAGGAAGAAGGTTCAACAAATCTTGCCATGTTTACAACAAATGATCCAACTTGTTTTGAAGAAGCTCAAAAGGAAGAAAAATAGAGAGCAGCAATAGACGCAGAGATTAAAGCCATAGAAAAAAAATAATACTTGAGAATTAATTGAGTTACCTACAGGAGCAAAGAAGATTGATGTAAAATGGGTATATAAGACAAAATTATATGAAAATGGTGATGTGGAGAAGTATAAATAGATTATACTCAAGTTTTTGCGCCTGTGGCTCGTATAGAAACAATTCGCATGGTGATTTCACTTGCAACTCAAAAAGGATGAGAAATCTTTCAGCTAGATGTCAAGTCTACTTTCTTACATAGAGAACTTAATGAAGAGGTTTTCATTGATCAACCACCTGGTTATCAAAGAAAAGGCGCTGAGCAGAAAGTGTATAAGCTAAAAAAAGCTTTATACGAATTAAAACAGGCACCACGAGCCTGGTATAGTCGCATAGAGTCTTACTTTGCTAAGGAAAGTTTCAAACGTTGTCCTTATGAGCACACTTTGTTTGTTAAAATAGAAACTGGAGGTAAAATCTTGATTGTGTGTCTCTATGTTAATGATCTTATTTTTACTAGCAATGATGAGCATATGTTTGAAGAATTTAAATTCTATGATGCATGAGTTTGATATGGTGGATCTTGGACAAATGAGATATTTTCTTGACATAGAAGTTTTTGCAAAGTCAAGAAGGTATTTTTATTTGTCAAAAGAAATATACCCAGGAAGTGTTAGAAAGGTTTAATATAAATAAATGTAATCAAGTTCATAATCCAATTGTTCCTGGTTGCAAACTCACAAGGAATTATAATGGAGTTAAAGTAGATAACACTCACTACAAGCAACTAATTGGTTGTATGATGTATTTAATTGCCACTCGGCCTGATATTATGTTTGTGGTTAGTCTTTTAAGTAGATATATGGAGTGTCCCACAGAGCTGCACTTCCAAGCTACCAAGAGAGTTTTAAGATATGTAAATGGAACTTCCAACTTTGGGATATTCTACAAAAAGGGAGGAGATGAAGAGCTGGTTGCATATACAGACAGTGATATGCTGGAGATTTAGATGATAGGAAGAGTACTTCAGGTTATATTTTCTTATTAAGTTCAGGTGTTGTTTCTTGGTCCTCAAAGAAACAACTAATAGTCACTCTTTCTACCAGTGAAGCATAGTTCGTTGCTGCAACTTCTTGTGCCTGTCAAGCTATTTGGATAAAGAGAATTCTGAAGAATTTTAATCATACTCAAAGTGACAGCATAATAATTTTGTGTGATAGTAATTCAGCTATTGAACTATCAAAGAATCTTATTTTTCATGGTCGTAGCAAGCACATAAATGTCAGATTTCACTTTCTTTGTGAGCTCACAAGGGATGGAGTTGTAAAGCTAGTCCATGGTCATACTTAAGAGCAAGTTGTAGATATAATGATCAAGTCACTAAAACTATATTTGTATGAAAAGCTTAGGAATTTACTAGGAGTATGTGCTTATCCAAATGTAAATTGAATAAATTAATATGCAGTTTAAGACAAAATATTAAAATAGAAACAAAATTAGTTTTGAATCAGTCTTTATTTGTTAGTTAATATTAATTTAAATAATTATTATTTTTTAGAATTTAAATAGTTATTTCTTAGTTTATCTCACGTCATGTTTATAGAACGTGAGTTGCAGTCTTTTTTTGTTACTTTTTGTAAAACTATATATAGTCATATCAATTTATCAAATAATACAGTAACAAAAGCATTTTTCTCTATTCCAATACCTTGAATTCTCAACAATGTTATGTTAATTGCATTCATATGTTTAATTTTTATTTTTATTTTACATTAAACTTCATTAAAAAAATCTCTTAAAAATAATATGTAAAAGATAAATTTAAATTTTGAAAAACAGGATAACTTAGTAATTAAAAAATTTTAATTTAAATTACTTTCCCATTTTCCAAAATTTTCTACTATTAGAAAAAGGCAAGAATGGGATACGAGAGAAAAATCTTCAAACCTATGCCCATTCTTTCATTGAATCTCTCATTTTAACTTAAAACCGCAGCTTGAAGGTATGCGAGCAACATCCCTGTCCTTAGAAGTCCAAAATAAAACACATCAGGTTAAGGGTGTGTCAAAATTTGAAAAAAAATGTCGTGAAGTCATTGTCCCATTATAGTCTTAGCATTAAAAGAAACCAAACAAAACAACCTACGTATTACGTAACCTCCAATTCAACTGACTGTTACTTCCTACGTTTGAATGAGGCCCTGTGACGTTCCATGAGCATGGTCATGGACGTTCGCGCATTGGGCAATCGCTACTTGGTCCAACTCACACACACTTCCCTCACACGTGCCGTCCATGCCCACATCCTCACCTCCGGCTTCAGCCCATCTCCTCTCATCCTCAACCGCCTCATCGACCGTTACTGCAAATCATCCAACATTCCCTACGCCCGCCACCTGTTCGACAGAATTCCCAAACCAGACATCGTCGCTACAACCTCCCTTCTGTCCGCTTACTCTTCCACTGGCAACATTAAACTCGCCCACCAACTCTTCCATGCCACCCCTTTCTCCATTCGCGATACCGTTAGTTACAACGCCATGATCACTGCCTTTTCCCACTGTCATGATGGCCACGCTGCTCTCCAACTCTTCATACAAATGAAAAGGCACGGTTTTGCTCCCGACCCTTATACCTTCTCGAGCGTTCTTGGTGCACTGTCTTTGATTGCTGATGTGGAGAGGCATTGCCAGCAATTGCACTGTGAGATCATCAAGTGGGGTTCACTCTATGCACCTTCTGTTTTGAATGCTTTGATGAGTTGTTATGTTTGTTGCGCTTCTTCGCCATTGGTGGACTCTTGTTTGTTGATGGCTGCTGCTAGGAAGCTGTTTGATGAGGCGCCTCCTGGTCTGAGGGATGAACCCTCTTGGACTACCATCATTTCTGGTTATGTTAGGAACGGTGATCTTGTTGCGGCACGTGAGCTTCTTGATGGAATGACTGACCAAATTACTGTTGCTTGGAATGCCATGATTTCTGGCTATGTGCACCGTGGTTTATATGAAGCAGCATTTGACTTGTTCAGGAGAATGCATAACTTGGGAATTGAGCAGGATGAGTATGCTTACACCAGTGTACTTAGTGCTTGTTCTAATGTTGGGTTGTTCAACATTGGAAGACAGGTGCATGCTTATGTTCTCAGAACAGTGGTGCAGCCTTCGCAACATTTTATTTTATCTGTGAATAATGCTTTGATTACCTTATACACTAAATGTGGTAAACTGGTTGAGGCAAGGCAAGTTTTCAATAAGATGCCTGTGAAAGACCTCATTTCATGGAATGCGATTTTGTCTGGGTATGTCAATGCTCAGTGCATTGAGGAGGCTAACTCCATTTTCAGGGAGATGCCAGAGAGGAACTTGCTGACGTGGACTGTGATGATATCTGGTTTAGCACAAAATGGTTTTGGAGAAGAAGCTTTGAAGCTCTTCAACCAGATGAAGTTAGAGGGACTGGAACCATGTGATTATGCATATGCTGGAGCAATTACATCTTGTGCTGTTCTTGGATCATTGGACAATGGACAACAATTACACTCTCAGATAGTCAGATTAGGTCACGATTCAAGCCTCTCAGCTGGCAATGCACTGATCACAATGTATGCAAGGTGTGGTCTTGTTGAAGCTGCTGATACTATGTTTGTCACAATGCCATATGTGGATTCAGTATCCTGGAATGCCATGATTGCAGCTCTTGCACAGCATGGACACGGCATCCAAGCTGTTCAACTTTATGAACAGATGCTGAAGGAAGGTATATTACCTGATAGGATAACTTTTCTCACAATTCTTTCTGCCTGTAGCCATGCAGGCTTGGTGAAAGAGGGACGCCATTATTTTGATACAATGTGTACACGCTATGGTATAACCCCAGGAGAGGATCATTATGCTCGTTTGATTGATTTGTTATGTCGTGCTGGTATGTTCTCGGAAGCAAAGAATGTAACTGAAACAATGCCTTTTGAGCCCGGTCCGCCAATTTGGGACGCTCTTCTTGCTGGTTGTAGGATTCATGGAAACATTGAATTAGGCATTCAAGCTGCTGAACGACTCTTTGAGCTTATGCCACAGCAAGACGGGACCTACATAATCCTTTCCAATATGTATGCCACTTTAGGTAAGTGGGATGAAGTTGCGAGGGTGAGGAAATTAATGAGGGAACGAGGGGTTAAGAAGGAACCTGGCTGTAGTTGGATTGAGGTTGAAAACATGGTCCATGTATTTTTGGTTGATGATGCTTTGCACCCTGAGGTGCATGCGGTGTACAGATATCTGGAGCAATTGGTACATGAAATAAGGAAATTGGGGTATGTTCCTAATACAAAGTTTGTATTACATGATATGGAATCTGAACATAAAGAAAATGCCCTGTCCACCCATAGTGAAAGGCTTGCTGTTGTTTATGGAATTATGAAACTTCCTTCAGGAGCTCCTATTCGGGTTTTCAAAAATTTGAGGATATGTGGAGACTGCCATAATGCATTCAAGTTTATTTCCAAAGTAGTGGAACGAGAGATAATTGTCAGAGATAGGAAGAGGTTTCACCATTTTAGAAATGGTGAATGTTCTTGCGGTAACTACTGGTAGGAAGAGGTTCTTTATTTGATTATCAACAAGGGTTAATGTCAACTGTGCTCAAATGAATTTAGAATACATGAAGTGAAACCTGGTGCCTTTACAATCGGTAATTCAAAATTGAGGGTGATAATGGCCCCAAAATGATCTCCAAAAGGTTGATAAATGGTAGTATGAATATTTTTTTATCCTGCACTCCTTTTTCTTTCTTTTTTCGATGCCATTTTATTTTTGGTTTTTGCTAAACTGATACTTACAATTTCAATGATGCGTCGTGCTTTTCTGTCGCTACAGTTTATATGACATGCCAAAGCCATTGACAAGGGATTGCACTTGAATGCTAGAGTATATCATTGCCATATCAAGCCATTTATCATGGGAACAAAGGCCGGCAGCAATAGTAAGAGAAAACTTGTTTCTGTCGAATGCCAAGTCATCTAGGCTATCATTGTTACTACAGTTTCCTTTTGTTTCTCGTGTTTGTTAGCTTTTGCATCAGAAACTGCAATCAATACAGTGTCATGAGTGTCATCTGGTTCCTAGCTGCGGCATTGCATGCCATCTCGGTGGCAGTGGCTCTGGGAGGAGCAGAAGGAGGGAATGAGGTGGCGCTCAGTTTAAAGGCTGAGGAACAGTGACACTAAAGCTACTTTGAAATGAAAAGGAACAACATTTGTCCTTTGTTATTGTGCTCAGTGCTCAATGTGCAAGAGAACCTCAAGCAAAACACTCTGATGTCTCAACCTGTAAGTGTCAGATGCTTTTGCTAGACTCCCTGCAAGTATGCCTTCTGCGAATGAAAAGTGATATCAGTGATCCTGGAAATCATCTTTTCAACATATGGGTTGAACTGAGGGTGCCCAAACAAGAATAGAAGCATTCTTGTGATGTTACTAAAGATGAAGAACTACTTATAGTACGTTGTCTTTCTTTCTGTTATTAGAGGGTCTTGAATCTGAAACGGCTATGAACCTTTACAACCGAGAAAAATCATGCTTGCACACTCGTGTTCCTTTGTAAGGGTGCTACACATCACATGGGTGCAGAGGAATGACTTTAGCTTCCCTCGCTCTGGATGAGTTAGATGGAAAGAGATTTACTTATGTTACAAAATTAATTTTCACACTTTTTTAATAAAAAAATGCATGTTGTAATAAAAATATGTATTTCAAATTAATATAAGTAAGCATTTTAATCATATTTAACGATTCAAAATTAAATGTATTAAAATTATTTTTGTTCAACTTTAAACTTAATGGGCACTATTTTATAGTCTTTTTGTTGCTTCCTGAGCTAATATAAATTTATCATATTTATCAAATCATACATGAAACGAACATCGTTAATGTATACGCGAAATTGAGGATTGAACTTCAAATGTGCCAACACTATTAGTCCCATGCAGAAATCCTTAATGAATAAATGGTTTTTCCTTTGTCCCATGCTCAATGAATTTCTCTTCAGTAACTTTGTTTTCTCCAAAGCTAAATGAACAATATTAAATAATAATAATAATAAATAATCCACATGCTCTCTCTTTGGGAATTTTTTTCTTTTTTTGTGTCAAAGTTTAGAAAATTAACCATAGAGTGGATAGTAAAACTAAAAATTCATGGGTCTAGCCCAACAGACGTTTGGGTGGTCCCAACGGCTGAAAAGCATAGAACTATAAACAATGTTATTAATTGCCCAAAACGTTATTAGGAATAAGAAAATTAATGAATGTGTTAGGTTTAATCTTATTTTTCACCAAATTAACATCTACTATTACTTAGACGCTCTTCGGAGTAGGTTTTGAAATTTTAACGAACGTATAGTAGTGTAGTGTAGGAGAGACTTGTATGAAGATAAGCACTGTCTTTAAAGTAAATCATTTAGGGCATTAATGAAGGTGATGTAAAAAATTGCGCAATCTTTTTTTGTTGATCAACTCCGTAACCTTTTTAACTAAAAAGAAAAGTAGCAGTTGCATGCAAAATTTACTCATTCTCTTTTATTTAGTACAAGAATCGGAATGTTGAAATTTAAGTAAATTTCATAAAGTTTAAATTCAAGAATATTTATGATAAATTATATTGAAAATTATAAAATAAATGTACATAATTAATTTAAGTATAACTGAAAAATATGAATAAAAAATGTGTAATATTATACACGAGTATAATCAATTTTTAAAAAGTGAATGATGAATTTATTATTTTAAAATAATAAACTAAAAAATAAGCACTTTTAAGATAATAGTATATTCTAATTATAAAAGCGAAAACTTATTATTTGCTTTCTTTAATGTTAGTAAAAGAAACTTTTCCCCACTGGAACAACGGGACTAAAGCCGAAAAACAGACAGCGCAGCGTTTAGCCACTCACTGAAGGAGTGTATGAGCAATGAGTTAGTAAAAGGAATCTAAGGTCATATATTATGAGCATTTTCAAAAAAACAACGGTTCAAATTCTACACATATATCTAAGTATTTTTTTGCAATTAATAAAAATAATAGGCTCTGCAATAGGGGAATATGCTTGCAAATAGGGCATCTTTTGCTCAAACCAAGAGCCGATGAAAATGTCTCTTCTTTTCGTTGAATCACTAAATACTAAATACTTTGGACCTAACATTGGTTTGATCACCAAAGTGAAAGTCAGAAGGTGAAAGTAATCGGATATTAAACATGACATTAACTAAACCCAACGTAACATCTTAACCATTTTGAACAATATTTATTAGTGGAAGGTCCAAAAGCTACTATTTCTTCAATAAATTTTTATGAATATGAACCAATGAATATTGATTCGATTGTTAAAAAGGATATTAAGTTTGATTCTGGAGACTTATACCTTAATTGTAGAACTGAACAACTTTTCTTCCCTTTAAATTTTATTAATGTACATGTTTAAACAAAGAATATACCATATGTTGAAGCGTAAATGGCTCAGCATATTGCATATTAATGTTCCACAAGACAATTTACAATGCTAACTCTACAAAAAAAAAAATGCATAGCTTGAATGTAATATTTATGGTTCAATTTCCTTTTTCTCCTCAAATATTTCTGAGGAAAGAAACAGCAAATAGGCCAAACAACAGCATTTTCGAAATACCATGTAAAGAGCGAGGGAGGAAAGCAGAAAACTCAAGGCACATGCCATGCCAACGCTAAACGCTTCAATGTCTTTGTTTATAACATACTTTTCAGGTTAATGCAACATAACAAACCCCCCAAATACTGTGCCAACTTTTTCTTCACCCCTCGGTAATCTAAATGCTTAGTTAATTGATATTGACTTGAAGATGAAGTTGTGTATCTGTCATTGTCTAACATCAACACAAAAAACAAAACATCTTAGTTGGAGAGGGGAAGCCTAGAAGGGAAGAGAGAGGGAGGCGCAACTTTTTGAAAAGTTAAAGTTATTGAAGAAAATGGAGACTCAACTCAATAACATAGAGAGGAGGGAAAAGAGAAAAAGAATCATTCACATGGATAAAGGGGTAGGCGCAAAATTTTCATCCATTCAGGATGAACAGACATTCATTCCTCTAGGTATATTTGTTTTCTCTTGTGCTGTAAAAAATTCCTCACTTTCATGAGCTAATTACACCTTCTTCACAACAAAATCTTCTTACCTACCTACAACAATTAGTAGTCCCCACATTAAACCGTCCTAGATTCCTTCTCTATCTGCTGAAGTCTAATTACCAGAAGTTTTCCATCTCTTTCATCCAAAAGCTATATATATAGAAACAATCCACTGCATGAAGATTTGTGCCTCCTCAGCCAGCCATCTTCTACTGTCAATAATCTGTGCAAGAAAATGATGTTGTAAAATGAATGAATCAAAATATAGGCTGAATAGAATTAAAAAGAATAGATTGAGTAATAAAAAAAAAACCATCCATTCCATATAGCTATCTATGCATAAGACCTACCATCATGTTTCTTCATCAAACTCCTAGCAAATAGCAAACATATAACCAAAAACGCCACCCCAGCTGCCCCTCCTAATATTATAGCCACTGTCTTTCCTGTATTTTGCCCTGCCATTGCATCAATTAGCCACATATCATTAAACAGTTCGAAGATTATTTAAATTGAGTAGCCATTGCTTTGACCATTGGGACAACTAGGCAGTGGTATCACAAAATTAAGCTATGTGCATGAGAAATGGACAAAAGCGAAAACACATTATCTGAAATATAACATGACGATAAAAATTGATACTTTCTTTTCAGCCAAAATTTATGCCATTCTAATCTCTTTTGGTTCTGAGTGCCTTGGTATTAGTTATTACCAGAAGAAGAAGAGGAGTAAGAAGAAGAGGAAGATGCTGCAGATGAAGAGTGTCCTCTTGGAACCCCGTTCGGGTAGTAACTATAACTAATGAAGCACTTGTGCAAATAGACTTGGCCTGAAATGGAACTGCCACATTCAACCTGAGCTCTCTGCACAGCACTCTTCACACAATCCCCACAATCTGAATCGCTAACATCTCCCTCACACTGTCCCATCACATACAAAGACTGGTAGCTGGTGGCATAAAAGCCATGTCCAGAAACCACCCCATTTTCCATCACAGAGAATGCAGTGTCTCTTCTCTCCTCAAACCCACTTCCAGCTGCATTGGTTACCCCACAAGTCTTGTAAAGAATTTGCATCCCAGAGATTTGTGCAAACCCAGCAACCTCGTACAGCATGTAACAACCTAGTAACTGGACCCTTGCAGCTATGGTCTTGCCACAAAGCTTGTCAGAGAGAACTGGGAGCCTGCTGACACAGTTGTAGCAATCAGAGTTTGTGAGATCCCCTCTGCATTGGAAGAGCCCGGTGATGGTGGTTTGGCCACTGCCAGTGGTGGCCTTAAAAAACTTGCCTTTGGTGGATTGCGAAACCAATGAGCCAAAGAGTGCAGAAAGGGCTTGAGAATATACCCCATTTGGATCTGTAAAAGTTTCCTTTGAACAACCCTTGTAGACCAAGGTGGTGAAATCAGAAGCAGATTCAGCAAGTTGGGATGGCTCAAGATTTGTGAACAAAACCAGGAACAAGAGGAGGAACAAGGACTTTCTGGGAAACCCCATTTAGGTGTGTGAGGTGTTGTGACTTGAGATGGATCAAATCATGGCAAATTTTGAGGGAAAAAATGAAACTTGAAGAGTGTGTTGTGGTATGAGAGTGTGATTGAGGAAAAGAAGAATCAAGGGTTGTGGTTGATACTTGGATTTTTGTTGTGCTTTTTGGTGAATCAGGAGGGAAAAGGATTTGGGTCGCTGTGGTCGAGTGAGTGACTCTACGTTGTGGTTTTAGTGTCCTTGGGATTCACTTTCCTTTGGATGGATGGATGGCCTCTGTAGTTGTGCACAAACTGTACTCTCTCTCCTCTCTCTCCTCTCTCTAATAGCTTAGAGAAAATGAGTTTTAATTTTTTAAAAAGGGGTATAATATTTTTTGAAAATAGTGAATAGTTTTTTCTAATATTTGAAGAGAATGAAAACAAAAGTGGTTGAATTATCTATGCTTTGAGAGTAGTGGGGAAAAATATTCCCCCTCTGAAGAGAAGGTTTTGGTTTTGGAGTGCATGAAGAGAAAGGAATCTGATTTTGGTAGGAGAGAACAACATGCAGTTTGACTGTGTCACATTGTGCTTTATCAAGGATTTGAATTCAACTACGCGTCAGAAACTTTGTACTTTTTTTTTTTAATTCTACCATTCTGGTATATAGGCCACATGCAATGACTTGTTTTTTTAGTACCTATTATTATTAAGTGTATAAGGAAATGTAGAGCTTAAAATTTGAAATATGTATGTCTCTTACTTTACTACGAATATTGCTGTCAACCACAATTTATCAAGCATCAATATTTGCATTTATTTCACACGTATCTGTATCAGATACATATTTGTATCTTCACCGATATATATAGTTCCAAAAATTAATGTAATCGCATGCAAGAGACAAAAGCAAGTGTAAGATAAGATAGAATCATAAAAACGGAAAAACATTATTTCTTGCTGAATCTAAAGTAAAAGCCATTCTTTTCATAGATTATGCTTGAGAAGATGATGGGTAGTGACTTATGATGATTACTTTTAATAATTTTCAAGTAATATATTCTTAATTTAAATTGTAATTATATTCATTATGTTTTATGATTTTTTACACTTATTTAAATAAGTATCTTATGCATAGGCGTATTGTATCAATATATTGTAGATAATAATAAATCTAATTCTTTCAAAGCCATTGGCTCGTAATACACCTTATTATTACACCTTAACGCCACCGTCCCTATCAATTTCAGAATAATAGATATTTTATAGCATTGTCAAACAGTAGATACTGTTTTAAACTCTGGAATAATTTTAAAATTTTTTTCTTTTAGAAAAAACTAGTAAACCACTGCAATTACTTTGTCTACATCTTGATTCTGTAATTTTCTTTGTATTATTGTTAATTGTAAAAGAAACTGCATCCATCACAAAGATATGGGTGGCTAAGATCATGATATGAGAAGTTGACAAATTAGAAGAGTACTTTAGCTGGCATGTTTCCTTTTTTAAACTAAAACAGATTGAATTCAGACAATTTTCTGTGCTATTGTTCAAGTGGTGTGTCGGTAGCTAATATTCATTGATGGCTTTTAAAATAATAACATTAAAAAGTTTAATTATGTTATAAATAATAGTATAAAAATTGATGAGTACGAAAGAATTGATTCATTTAAACGATAGAAGAATTATTTCTAATGTGTAAACATATATTTCTAAAATATTTAAAAAATAATAATAACTTAATTTTAATAATATAAGCAACAACCAACTTAACTATTCTTGAATAGAAATTTTATTCTGAATTTAACAAATAAAAAAAGTTTACTTATAATTATTTTAATCATCTTTATTTTTTAATAAAAAATTACCAATATTTTTTTGATAATTATAAAAAACATTCATTTACAAATATATTAATTATTAATTTTATTTGAAATTTGTATTAATAAAATATTTATTTATTATTTGTACAAGTGAATATTTATTTATTTATTATACAAATTACTAATTTAAATATTGTGAAATTTTTAAAATATAATATAAATTTATAATATGCAACTGCATTTGAGTTGGAATGCTTAAATCTAGGTACATTTGAAAAAAATAAATTAAATCAAACACTCATAATCAAAACTTTTATTTGTTTATTTATTTTGCTGACAAGTTTCCTTTCTCAGCGTAATTTCAACTCCAACTTCTTCTCAATAACAACAACAACAATAATAATAATAATAATAAACACAAAACATCGTGGAAGGACAATTATGATCTCCGGAGGAGCTAGTAACAATAAAGGTACTCCATGATAGTGGTTGGAATAGTTATTAGAGTATTAATAAGCTTTGTAGTCTCTCTTTTATGACTAATCTATGATTTTAGATTTTTAATACAATTTCATTTTACTTTAATATTTTCTTTATTTTAATTGTTGTAGTTATGATATTTGTTTAATTTTCTTTCACAAAGAGTTTCTTAAATTCGTTTTTCAAGTCAAGTAGTTAAGAGTTTAAGACATGCATTATGGAATAAGAACTTACTTTAATGAATCACGTAAATGGTGTTATAAATTCTGTGATTATGATTTTGCTATTGATTGGATTTGAATAAAAAGAAAAACTTAATCGATTATTTTATTAATAAAATTTGAGTATGAAATTAGGCTTTTATATATTCTGGTATATATTAAACCTGATAAAATATATATATATATATATATATATATAATAATGTATGTACAAAATTTAATATTTATTTATAGACCGAGTCATTAATTTAAAACATTGAGATGTCAGAATTGATTGAAAATATAAACTAAAATTGTACATTGACAATGTAGCAAATGAATAAAAGGTGAAATTATATTTTAAACAATTTTTCCTTTTAATGATTTTTTTTTTTGTTTCTGACTTACATATAAAATAAAATAATTAAAATCAATGAGTAAAGTTGTAGGTTAAAAAATCGATTCCAAGTGATTTTTGGTGCAGCCAAAAACACTTAAAGTAATTGTAAATTATATGTTGTTATTAGAGCTCCCTTTTAATAAATTCATTACCTCTCGATGTTACTTTCTATGTATTTTAAATGTCACCAAAAACTAACTTATATATTATCAATAATCTGGTTTGTCACTGATCTTTTTAATTAAACTAATTACTATAATTAGATTATCTAAACTTTTTAATTAAAATATTTTAAAAAGGAAAGTTGTACTGTCTAAAAACGATATCACATGCCACAAGTATAAAAAAAATTGACTTAATATAAATATTGATCATTTTGTATACCAAAAGTATATAGATTGATGGTTGAATTACCAACTTAAACCAAACAAAAACATTTATAATAGTTAAATATTTAACGTGTTATACTATAAAGTATAAAAACCTTCATATATATGTCACATGCAACAAACAATCGCTAAATATCATTGTGTTGGCATTAGCTTTCGTGTTTAGTTGGTTTCCAATTGCGAAAGAGCCAAAGATCCAACATAACACGTTCCTGTTCACCATTAAATGCTAATAGTACATTGCATCTGCAGAATGCAACTTAATTATTATCATATTAAATTAAATGTTATGAACTTGTTAAAAAGTAGTTTGGTGCCATAGCTCATATTATTTATAAAAATATTAGCATATAAAGCTCATATACTCCAATATAGCTGCTAAACACGTCTTTTGGACCTAAAAAATGAACCCATGTTTAACCATTCAAAGAGAAATAATATACACTAAATTCAAATGAATCTAATCAACCACCCCACATGCCCACATTAATTTGTGCATCAATGTCACACTATTTTATAATTAATTAAGATTATTGCTTTTTTACACTTTCTTTTACACCTTATTATTTTTAAAAATTTTGTTAACTTTAACTTTTAGAATCGATAACAAATAATTAATAATAATAAAATGTTATTAGAAAAAAAAGTATTTATTATATTTTTATAACTTTAATACAATAATTGCGTACCTTTTTCATAAATTTTTTATTTATGGACGTTTAAATTCAATCCTAAAAACTGAGATTAACAAAATTTTATTTTTAAATACTTTAAACAATAATTTTAATTATTTTTTATTTGTATTTCAAAATTTAGAACAACATTCTTTTCTTTTGAAATTTTATTCTTCATTTTCACTATTACTATTTTTTCATTGTTCCATGTCATTATCACCTGATTTGAGCTTATTTCAAGTATTATTATTTTGTAGACACTTTTATTATTTTAAATGTACTATAAAAATTAAATTTATAATAAAAAAAATGACAGATTCATCAATCATTTTATCAATGGGGGGGGGGGGGGGGGTTGTTTCAAGATTAATTGGGCCTAAATATATATTTTCCAAAAATTTAAAACTCTCAATGGGCTAACTAAGTACAGTGTGACCCAATTAAGGGTAGAGCCGTGTATGGATACCAGACAGTTACGTCCAACTTTGACCCCAAAAATAAAATTAAAAGTCCAACTCATTCATTCTTGCTCTCCCCTTTTTTACGAGCGTTTCTTATAATCCTTAATTGACGAACAACCATTCCACATTATTACGGATAAATTCAGAAAAGTTGTCACATTATAAGCTGCATTTCAATAATGTAGGGTCTAATACTATATGTATTTTAATGTTGTATTAAACTAAAAATATTGTTCACCAAAACAATATTAGAATAGAAACAAACGTTTCAATAATATGGATTAAACGCAATACAATTAATAACATTAATATTTAAATTTTTTAAGTGCAGAATATGAACTATACAAAATATGTTAAACTAAATACTAAAAAAAACTAAATAAATATCATATCGTTGAATCTTTCAATGTATTTAAAACACTAAATTCGAATATAGGTTGACGAAAAATAGTGGTCAAGTAATTGCTCTAAGGCAAGGTAGAAAAGGAATTTTAATAATAATAAAAAAAACACATTAGAATAAATAAAATATTTAATGATATCGACAGTGCTTCTTCATAGGAGTTGATTGCGGAAAATTACAATTAAGACAGTCAAGCATAATCATGAAATAAAGCTCACACACAAAACAAAACAAAAACTTTATATTTGCATTAATTTTTTTAATTATTGTATTAATATCCTAGTTTATATATAATTATTTTACATTTAAAGACAAACATAATACTTTATTAAAAAAAAACATAAAGTATAATTTTTTTACATCAATAAATTAAATTTAACTAAAATATATTTTATGGATTTTTATATTATAATTGTGAACTCTTGTTTTAAAGTCAATTTTTGTTGTACTTTTTTTTTCATAACTCCGGACATTATTATTATTTAATATTTTTAACCTATTCACTATTTTCATTTTTATATTATTTTATGCATTTTTGACAAACTTGTAGCTTTTATTACTTTCAAAATTGGCTTAAAAATTTTACTTTTTTATAAATTCAAATTTTCATTTCAAATCTTATCTTCCTATATTTTTACTTTTTAAAATTTTTTATATGATTATTATTATTTTATAATTTATAATATTTTGCATTTAAATTTTTAATCTGTATTTTAAGACACATAATAAAAATACTATAATTTTTAATTTTTTAACTTATATCTTTATACGTACATTAAAAAAAAGTTAAAAATGATATCAAAAGTATAAAAAATGGAGTATTTATGGGAATGCAGTGTAACGATTAATGTTAATTTAACGCTGTGATGACGCGTAAACAAATCTGTGTCGCATCAACCAATCAACTTTGCCGAAGTTACGTTATCGTTTGTCTTTCTTTTCTTTCTTTCCTTTTCTTGTCGCGTTCCCTTCCACCACCACCGACTCTTCCTCCCTTCTTCCCTCTTCCATTGTCAATTCTCACTCAAACCCTTTTAATTTCATGGAATCATATTCATAACTCATTCCTCCAACATGCATTCTCTCAAAGACAAAGTCACACAGAAACTTTCCCATCTCTTTACCAATTCTCCCAACTCCTCTTCCCCACCGGTAACTTTTTTTCCCCAAAAAAAGTGTTTTTTTTTTCTTTTATTATATGATCTGCGATTTGGCTATTCTTGGTTGTTTTTGTTATTCCTATTATTATTAAAAAAAAAAAAATCTGAGCTTGGGACACTGTTAATTTTTTCCTTTCATACAAGCTTTGATCACTTTTGCGCTTAATGTTAGATCTGATCTCTGCTAAAATCTGAATCCTTGGTTGAGTGGCTTCATTCTTTTTCACCATGGGTCTCAGTTTTTGAGTCAAATGCACCAAAATAAACATGGTAAAGAACAACATTCATAAGTATTTCATTTCTTCAACGTTTGGAAGGTAAATTTTAATGCTAATCTGAATTGTCCCCAAGTATATGGGTGTTCTTGACTGTTTTGTATTCACGGGAGAAATTTAGTTTTGTGACTTTTGATGTGTACAGTAGTAACGGTTAGTAATCTGCCACCTTTGTCTCTGGTAGTATATATAATATATATTTGGTATGGCCTGTGTCCTGTGAGCTGCATTTGACTGGCTGCTAGTTCTGGATAATATAAATTGGTTTTCTGTGCTATGTAACATAATTTATTGTGCTGGGATGGTACAAAATGAAACCAGGAGGAAGATTCCAACTTATCTTTGTGTATATAACTCTATATACTTTACTTGAGCTCTCCTATCAAGGTTGATTCTGTTGTTGTCATCGTGTGAACAATACTTGATTAGATGAAGAGCATGTCGTTGTCCATGCTCAACACCCTAAGGAGTTAAATAATATTAGGTTTGTTTTTAGTTGTTCTTTCGTGTCTTACTGCCTAGGGAATATGACCTGTAAATAGACCCTCCTCAGCTTATCAATTAAAGAATTATTGAAAGTTATCCTCTTATAATTTTGTTCACATTGTGTGGGTTTGCCATTGATGCTCTTTGACGTTGTCTTTGTAATGCAACTTGAGGTAAGTGATAGTTTGTGTTTTTGTGTTATGTTGCTGTTAGTTTAGATTCGTTAGATTATAGGATTATTTTATGTTATATGTTGTCATAGATTTAGATCAGCACAGAATTTCAGCAAAGATGGATCCCGTCACTGGTTTACTTTTCTACCTTTGCCTTTTGTGCTTTGTATGCACACATACACATGCGTTCTTAACTGTATGGTCTCTTTAGGCCTGAAAACCTTCTATCTTATCATGATAGAAAGATGGAATTTTCTAGTGGTTGATAAGCTTCATTTAGAATATGATTGCCTCGTACTTGTACCTAGGTTTAATTCATTTCAATATTTAGGTGCATCACCAAGCTTCAATATATTTTTTCCTCATAAATGTCTGATGTCTATGCTTTCCCTACACCCGTTACACCTCTCTCTCATGAGTAGAGAGAAGATGACAAAGAAAATAAAAAATGGATATTTTCCTTTTTTCATCTAACTAACCAATCAAGATGAAGTTCAAAGAATGCAATTCAAATTCCCTGCATCATAGAAACCTTATGCTAATTAAGTCTACACATTTCAAGTTGAAGAATAATCAGTTAATCACCTTATCCTTGCTTTCTATTTTTATTTAATCTTTGATATGAGGTTTTTATTTGTGTAGGATAGTCCCTATTCTAAAGAGGGTAAACCTTTGTCTTCATATTTATCTTACATTATCCCTTCAATCAGCTTTGATGGACCAAAGACAAGTGAGCATCAACACGATCGTAAACCAATTCGATCAGCATCTGCTGGATATAATTATGAACATTTTGAGTATCAGGATATTCCAATGGATAATTATGTTGATTGTAGCTCCATGTGCAATAGCATTGATTTATTGAAAGATGATAATATTAATGAAGTTCATACCTCTAGAAGGAGCAGTAGCAGTTCTGAAGTTTTTGAAGAAGCAAATGAGCAGCAAACACCAAATACATCAAAGAAGTCTTCACTCAATCTTACTGATGACTCTGTTTTTATATCTCCGGAATTGTATGAATTTTTTGAATCATGCCTACCTAATATAGTGAAAGGACGCCAGTGGGTCTTACTTTATAGGTAACTTTGCTCTGTAATTTTTTAAGTTCATACGTTGAACAGTATTTTTCTATTGCTTTGAGATGTTGATTCAACAATTTTTATTTTTAAATTAAGGGCAGTACGTTAAAACATGGAGTCTCACTTCGTACACTTATTCGCAAGAGTGCTGAGCTTTCTTGTCCTGGTTTGCTGGTATGTCAACCTTTCAGAATTAAATGTATTTTTCCTGATATGGTGTGCATATGATATTTACTAGTTGCAGATTAAGGTGTAAGGTCTATTGTTGAAAATGGATTTATTGTCTATTTTGCAAAACTGTTAGATTGTGGGAGATAGGCAAGGTGCGGTGTTTGGTGGGCTACTAGACTGTCCCTTAAAACCTACAACAAAGCGAAAATATCAAGTAGGACAACTCTCTTTTTTCATAAATAATACTTCTTTGTAAAGGAACTTCTTCATCTTGAAGTATGATTTCATTTGCTCTATGGTGGTGATAGGGAACAAACCAAACTTTTGTCTTTACAACTGTATATGGTCAGCCAAGGCTGTTTCGACCTACTGGTAAGGGTTCTGATTGTGAAAATACATAATACTTGGTAGCAAGATGTTGAACTAAGCAAATGTCATAATTGATGTATTGTCTAGCTTGAGAATAAGTTGACAAGTTCATATCAGCAAGAGTGACATTTACACGTTTTAGGGTAACATCTTTTATTAATTTTGGTATCTCAGTTATTAATATTCATGCACTAGGACCTGACTTTGTATGATGTGGAAGCTTGTTGTAAACTTACCACGAGAATAATCTATTTGGAGTGTAATATAAATGAATCCTATTGACTGACTAGCTCATTATCACCTCTTGCATGTCCTCTTCTAGTTAGTAGCAAATTAGTAATGAGACTGGTTTGGGATCAACATGTGGTTATTATTCAATCTTGATTTCTAATATACAATGCAAATATTGTTATTCACTGTGCTTTGCAAATATGAACTCTTCACTGATAATTGTATGCTTATTGATCATAACCTTTTGAATTGTTTCCTTTAAAAATATAAAAAAAGCATTTTCCCACAAGTATGTTAATTTGTTTTTATATTTTTGACCATTGTACTTAGGAATTGACAATGTATGCATTGGGGGAGAAGGTAAATAAAGGAAGGAAAGAAAATATTAATTTGTCACCACCTACTGGTTCAAATTTTGGGTGTTTTGGTGTCTGGAGCTTTGACAATTGATGATAGGTTAGGCTAATTAGGGGATGGAAATGGCAACTATTAGGAATCATTACTACTTTACCCTACTTATAAATTAGAAACAACTAAATTATCTTTATTCAGGGTACAAGCTCTCAACTTCTATTTTAAGTATGACAAGCTTCTAACTCTTTTTCTTTTGAACTTGTGGTCTGATTTTATATATATATGCAGGTGCCAACAGGTACTACTACATGTGTTTGAGTGACTTACTTGCACTCGGTGGTGGGGGTAATTATGCTTTATGCTTAGAGGAAGATTTGTAAGTGCTTATTAGTGATGCAGTAATGCGTAGTTTTGCAGTTCAGTACATTTTAATGGTAGTTGAAGTACCACGTGGAATCTCTTCTTGAATGTGTCCTTCTTGTTGAAATTGAAAAGGTTAACTGGAACTAGTGGACCTTGTGACACATTTGGAAATGCATGTCTAGCTCATAGGCCAGAGTTTGAGTTGAAGAATGTTGAGGTAATATTCTTACTACTGACGTTTGTTTTCTAGCTTAAAACAAATTTTTAAGGGGCTTTCATCCCCTGCTGGCTGCTACTGCTCATTTTGAATTAGCTTTTGTGTACTAGGCTGCTAACCCTTCCCCCTCTCCCTCCCCCCTCCATCTAAACTGTCACCATTGGCAAAATTTAATATTTCTGATAACTGGCATATTTTGGAAACAAATGGCACTGAAATCAGTTTCTCTGTAAGAAAAAGGTACTCACGATACCAAATTCGTATGCAGAAATGGATTTTGATTTTTCCCAACCTAAATGGATAGCCATGATAATATCAGCAGTTACATCTTCATTGTGTAAACTCCACATTACCTGCTGTAGTTCAGTATATATCATGCATTGATTTTCCCCATTGCTCGTTTCTAATACCTATTGTTCTCCATTTATTTATATATAAAGCTACAGTGGGATGATTTATTCACCATATTTCTATTATGTGCAGTTGTGGGGTTTTACTCATCCGTCCCCTTTTCAAGGCTAAGATGCTTTTATTTGGATGTCCAAAAGAAGTGCCTTTCCCTCCTCTATTTTTATTCTACTCTTTGGATGTAGTTTAGATTACCCTTGAGTGTTGATCATTTTAATGTACTGTTACTTTCAGACATGCCCCCAGTTGTTGTTAGTATTTTGAATGCTTGAAATTCCATTCGGTAAAAGTTTGGGTTTGTGGTAGTGAGATGGTCCAACCACAAGGTTGTTTAGTGTAAGGGATGGAATTCACACATTTAACATCTAAGAAATAAAGCACTAACTAGGCTATTTTACCTTCAAATTTGGGTTTCCCACAACTCTGTAGCTACTAATATAACATTGATTTTACTGCTTGATTTGAAAAACTAAACAAACTAGAGGCCAATCATTTAATGGATTGTGTAAGGCAGTGTCACTACTCTCTAATGGCTGTGGATATCTAAAGTTTGGTGGGGAAAGGGAACTATGTTCTAGTTGCACTATGTACAACTATCAAGATATTCAATTGGTGTCTTTTAAGCGTTCACTGTAACAAAACTCGTTTGATCTTTTATGAGGTCATTCTTTACTTATTAATATTTAAGTGATTGAAGTTTCTACTGTAAAAAAAAATAAAATTAAAACAATTGCCGATGAGCTTTTGGGCAACTTATAATAATTCCCTTCTAGTATTTGGTGCATTCAGGTAGCTCTTATTCTTTAAATTTTGTCTAATAGTTTCATTATTTCTGAACTCGGGCCTTACTGTGTAAATGTGGGTGTTTTTTTTAGGTTGACAATTATTGTTACGCCATTCTAAAATAAAATTGTAACTAAATAAGGCATTATAAAAAATAAAGATGGCAAAATGGGTCTGTTCAATTGGGCTTTACCCTTTTTGGGCCATATCTTTGCGAGCTCGGATTATATTTAAGTCTTTTCAGTCCGGCCTGCTAAATCCTTTACTCGCCGTGGGCTTACCCAAAGTGGCTACTGGACTTGCCCAAATAGGCTGAACAGCTTGATTTGCCAGCTCTAATAAAAAAAATGCTTTTGAATATAACTGAGTATCACATAAATCATTTATATCTTAATATTTCAAGAACTGAAAGCCAATGATAATAAATTGTTCTATTTTACGGGACGAAGTGTGAAGCAGGGCAGGAACAATAATCCATATTTGAAGTTTGTCTGAATGCCAACATATTTTAAACTCAATAAAAAATGATATTTTTCACCATTTTCTATAAGTAAATTAACCAATTTATTTTTTAAATTTCCTCTTCAAAATTATAAAGTTTGTTAATCTAATATTTTTTGTGATGAAATATAATAAATAGTTACTTTGATTTTATATAGAAAAAAATTTAAAAATCAAGTTTGAATAATTTCATTGAGGAATTATTGGGAATTAAAAGTGATTAAATGATTGTAATATTTTCTTCTGAGTCAATTATTAATTAGTTATTTTTAATAAGTGTGGTATGATAATAAATGACTGTTGTATAATAATTAATAAGTGTAATATATATAGAATTAAGGCAATTCAAATGAACCCTAAGCATATATAGCTTTGTATTAGTACTAATAAATCAATAACATGTAAGAATATATTTGAAATAGTCATTTAAAATGAGTCTTATTCTATTTAGTGAGATCGATTATTTTAAAAAAGTAAATAACAATAACCTAAATTTTATTTCATTAGATGTGTTCGGCTATATAAATTACATGCTATTTGAGTTTAATCAAAAATTAAAATTTTAAAAATTTGATTAATCAAAAAGTTTTTTTTAATAACTTCTAAATTCTTTGGAGTTTCTAAATTTTTTTTTTTACCGGACTAAGAGTTAGCAGTTTACTCTATTAGCGCTTCCAAAAGTCTTTTTTATATATATGACTAATTACTTTAGATATTTTTCAGTCATTTTTTTTGTTATAAATGTTACTCTAATACTTTCTTATATACTAATATTATTATTTTACACCTTAGTATTACTTTTGTTAGTTTCAGTTTTTCTATTGGTGTTTTTTTAAACCTCAACATTCATTACTACCATTACGATAAAACTTTCTTTTTAGGTTGACAAGTATATGGTCACAAATAACAATCATAATAAACAATCGTCTAAATTGATGCAAGGAAAACGACAATCAAGTTACCTCATTAATATGAAATTAAAAAATTATGTACTGATAATAATGATTCCGATGTTCTATATAATCTTTAGGATTTGGTGACAAGGCAAATTCTTTCCAGTCCTTTTGAGATTTGCAGACAAGGGCAGCACATAGTAAAGCTGTAGAAATCCTGAAAGTGGAATGACAGTTGCTACCCCGCAGGTACACAACTCTACTAAGGTTTGTGAACGATAAAAAAAACCACAACTTTCAGTCACATTTCCAATCCATGAATTATACATAGACAAACCCCAAGTAGCATGCAGCGATTGGGACTCCTTTTCCACTTCAAGGCACCTCGTGATTCACTGGTCCACCTTCATTTGGTGGGCCAAATATTCGAAGATTCCGGTCCATTGATCCCACTGCAATGTATTTTGCATCTGGACCAAATTTAACACAGTTGACTTTCCCTGGTAAGAGGAAGTAAAATACAAGTAGCCTCTTAGTAACTAACATGAAAGAAAGCCCGAAGCAACAGAAAAGAGAAAAAGGAAAAGATGGAACCTGTTCCAGATAAATCAGGAAAAGTTTTGATACAATTCCATTCAGATTTCACATTTGTAGCTCGGTAAATCCTGCAAAAATTTCCAGGTACTGCAAATCAGTCTCGGAAGAAAATGAATGTGGATGACAAATTGAAGACACAAGGTTTAGTTTATATATTGGCATAAGATTTGTACAAAGGACACTGGTATAGATTCTGACAAACATGTTTTGAAAGGTAAAGAAAACTGACAAAGCATAAATGCCCAATTTAACTAGAAATAGCAGTTTTCAAGTACATATTTGTATGTACGAGTGTCTGGACATAAAAAAAATCCTGTCTGAGAGCAATGCGTTCCTCCTAGATGCTTTCATATTACCTTACACGAACATTTTAATGCTTACTAATATCTTCTTAATGTGATTTAAATAAGATTATTTAATCTTTATTCTTGCCTCCACCAGACCAAACCTTTGACTTGTTTAGTGCACACGCTACACAAAATGCAAGAAAAGTTGGTGAATTCCTTGATTCCTTCATAACATCAGATGTTGATCTGACTGCTTATATTTTTTAATTTTTTACTGCATAAGACGATACTTTAGTTACCACATTCTTGAAAATCTTCAACAAGTCAACGCTCGCTCACCTTAAATCAGAGCCTGCAGTTGCAAGGTAAGATCCACTATGGTCGAACTCCACTGCAAGATACAGTTAAATGACAACCTTTAGAAATGAGAGTAATTTATTTCCCTGTATACAAGATCAACAGGGTGAGAAAATGAATACCTGAGTTTGTTAGTGTTTCTGAGTCATATGGAGCAAAATTGCCGAAGTTCTTCCCTTTACGTAGATCCCAAAGCTTTACACCATCTTGAGTTGTCGTCTGTCAAATCTAGGCATGAGAATACGGTATAAACAACCATCCTACTTTTACTTTCAACGTTAATTGACATACCGCAAGGACGTAGCCATTCTCAGAAAAGGATATGGCGGTCACTGGCCCTACATGATCTTCAAACATAGCAATACTTGACTGCAACCAGGTCAACCCAGAACAACAGTGAAGATGAAGATCCATATATAAATAAAGAATAACAAAATTACGGACCTGACTTGTTACATCCCAGATCTTAACAATACCATCTGAGCTGCCAGTTCCAAGAAGGAGACCATCGGGATGAAAAGCTGCAGATGTATAGCCTCCACAAGAACCTGAATTCTATGTTACATATAAAGTCAAACGATCTATTTCTTTCTTGCTGATGAATGAAGTTTGGGGACTTGTTTTTGGATTTTTTTCAGACTTGGAGAAGGCCTTCCTCCCGGCTATCCTCTTGTTGTTTGATGACTTCCGCAGGAGGAGCGAAAGCCAAAAGAAGGGAGAGAAAAGAGAGGTACGAAGTCAATGAATATCAGGAATATGACCTCCGTGAGTGCTCCTGGATGCAGGATTCAGTCATGGAAAAGGAGAAGGTAATATTCAAGTATCCCAACCCAGGAAGTTTTAGCACAAGGAAATCGTGGAGACGCGGCCTTATTAGGAAATGACTGGGGCTTTAGCCTCTGTTGGAGACATTAGCCCTTAAGATTGATGTCAATCATACAAAAGTGAAAAGTTTTTCACCCAAAAAAAAGTATTTATTGCATAAAAAAATACAAAGTCTTTGATTTTTTATATTTCTAATAATATTTTTTTACTTAAATATATCCCTTGGATTGACGCCAACAAACCAAAAGAAAAATGCTCCCCTAAAAAGGGTTCATGTTTATGATATGTCTTTCTACTTTAGTGCCTGTGCACAAACATCGAAAACAACACATACATACCGAGTTAGACATGTTCCAGAAGAAAGTTCATAAAAGCACCAAGTGCTGTCAAGCGAAGCAGTTACAAAGTAATCATTGGTAGCATGGACAGTGATGGCTTGCACCTGAAAAATTGAAAAGACAAATCATTCTTGAATCTCAGAGAGTGGAGGGAAATATAAAGACTTATAACTGAGAGAAGCCCTGAAGACCTTAAAACAACAATTGTAAAAAGCATTTAGCAGAGAGGTTACAAATTTAAAACATCCTGCGTCATGGGTTGGAAGTATATTGCTCAACACTATTTTCATAATTACTTATATATACTATATAACGAACCAAAGAAACAAAGATTTTATGCGAGGGTACTCAACTGAAAAGAACAATGCACCAGTAAGACACCCCATAAAGAGCAAATCATCCTTTATACAACCAGCAGAATGTTCTGCTGTGAAGCAATATTTCATTAATAATAGAAAGCAATGTTCTGCTGTCTTAGACTCTTAGTTTCTTTTCTTTGATAATGTTCCTACAAAAATCACTATCCAGTCATACTGTCAAACATGACAAAATTATTTTATCTCATAAAAAACATGTCCAATCCTTTCTCTTGAATTCAACATGCAATGCAAATACTCTAAAGACTATTCTCACACAGCAAGGAGCAGAGCATCACCCACTAGTAAATTCTGCATGCCATGCAAATTCATTAAAATCATTATCACACAGGAAGGAGCAGAGTATCAGTCACAAGTAAATTTTAATATCACTTCATTATAATTGTAAGAATACAGGAACAGTACAAGTCTAAACGGGAAAAAACATTAAATATTAAATTATGCCAATCAATTAGCTTTTATTATGAGGTGAAGTTAATGTAAGAATGTGCGAGTAACACCATGCCCTCATCCCTTTCTTGACACCAAAGGTTAGTTAACCTTTAAACTCCTTAATAAGCACATAAAAAAGGAGGAAAATATCCTAATATCCTAATACAGACAGTGATTTAGTGAGACATGATATTTGTTTACCTCAGCTGTATGATCCCTCAAGATGTCCCTGCAGTTATAGGTACCTTCATCCGACGCTTGCCACAAACGAACTGTCTGCAGCACAGCTCTTAGGGCTCTAATTTTCAACAATCAAAAGGAAAACTTTTTCTTTTTTAAATTATTTTACTTTTGTATTTCCAATGTAAATAAAAAAATACCCGTTTTAGTTGCGTAAATCAACCCTATAGTTTACTGTTAATAAGCTGATGAATAATTTTATACAATGAAATCTAATCATCCAAATATCTAATTAATTAGAAAGGGAATAAGGGATAGAAAATTACCTTATCGGCTGAACCAGTTAAAAACAAACCACCCTGAGCTACAAACTTTACACTTGTAACCTATCAAAAGTATGATTAATTTGCTGAATGAGTTTGAAGAAAAGATAACTCCAGAATATCAGAAAAAAATAAAATAAAAAACGAACCTCTTTTGAGTGACCACTGAGTGTGGATAATATCTGTCCTGATGGTCGGTCAAAAATAACAGCATTTGTATCAATCCCTCCAGAGGCAATTATGTCCTGTCAATCAGGAAATGAAATGGTTATTGATCAGCAACCACTAGTTTTCCAGTTGAAAGAACACATCAAAAGGTGTAAGGCATAACAAAGAGAGTTTTTGGCGTACTTCAAAATCCAATTTATAATCAAACATCATACCTTAGAATAAAGAACGTCAAGACATTTAATGCCCGGCTTGCTTGTTTTGTGAATGGGATGACTAGATATTTGGGTATATCCGTCTATAGCATCAACAGGGGCCAAAGTGTCAGGAATCTTGAAAAAAAACAAGACAAGAAAAAAAAAATCAGAGAAGGCAATGCACAAACATGCAAACACCCAAATTTAAAATCAAAGATTTCAGAAAAATATTTAAATTATTCCAAAAAGGTAAAAAAAAAAAAAAACAATTTCACGAAACAGGTCACACATAAAATACGGAAGTTAAATAAAGAAACGTCATTAGATTTAGATATGACAAGATTCTAGCAACTGATACCACAAAAAAGAAAACAAGGCAGTAATTATGTACTAGGCTACAAGCATTTGCAACGCTCAATGTATTCAATTGTTTATTCAACATTATCACGAAGAATACCTGCCGCCTTCTCCTCCGTTGGTGGAGAGCTTTACCACAGTCAGTTAGCTCGGAAATTACGGCAGAAGTTATTCCAGAATGTATTTTCTTTCCATGAGGCGCTAGTTCCTCATCCTCAGCAGCTAAAATGCCAAAAAAAATAGAGAATTCAAATGAACAACTGAAAGCAGTAAGCACGAGCTAATCACGGCTGAGGAAAAATCATTCATAATAAAGTGTAAAAATCAAAATTTTCAATAAACACTTTTCATTTCTAATAGTAATAGGATAAGCAGCTTTGGCAGCGATACAAAAAAAGGACTAGACTAAAAAAGAATAAACATATAAAACCTCTTTTCCCATTGCTCGCGACAGAAGCATTTACTGTTACTGCACTGGGGGCAGAAACGGTGAAGTTACTATTTTCTTGTGCAAGCAATGATCTAGCTTCATCTCGTTCTTTTTTCAGTCTTGTTATCACTCGGCATGCAGCGTCATACTACATATTAAACTAAACTAAATTAGAGTAATTTGACAGCCAAAAATATATAATAAGAAAATGACGATAGTACTAAGGATCAAATAAATTGAATAAGAATTAATGAAGAATAAATGAGATATTAAAACATAGAAGATTATAACTATTAAAATAAATTATAATGGTTAAGATTGTTATCAAAGAAAAATTCTTGAAATGCTAAAAGTTTTTTATTCATAAATATTGGTTTTTTTTACTTGAAATATGAATTTCTTATTTAAAAAATTAGAAAAGATAAATTTTAAATTAAAAAACAAATCGAGAACTTTCAAAGGCAAGATAGATATAGACGATATACAGAGGATATGAAAATTTTAAATAGTTTAAGAAGTTGTCCTTTCAACCTAACTATTTTTTTTTTTTTATGATAAATCCTCTAAAGAAATTATTTTTTTTGTGATGATAAGTCCTCTAAAGAAATTTTATGACAGGAGATCAGCATATAACAATAAATTAAAATTTGATATAAGAAATCAATTAAATAATAGATACCAAAAATAATTGTTAAGGAATATAACTCTTAGTATTAATGCTCATGAATAATTTAAGAAAAAATATTTGAGTGTATCATAAAAGAGATAGAAAATAAAGAAGAGAGAACTTATAATTGTAATAAGTTGCACGATTTGATAAAGGTTTTGTTTAGTTTATAAAATTATGAAAAATAACTTTTATTCTGTAAAATTATCAGAAATTAGTTATGTTGACACGAACTCAATTAAAAAATAATTTATAAAAATAATAATTGCACGTAAAACTCAATAATGAATAGTTATAACAGTTTGACATAAAACTCGATAAAATTATGAAATTAGCTTAAATTGATACAAAATATGAGTAAACATATAGAGAGCGGGTTGACACTTAACCAACTTACATTAATAATTTTACTCTTTTTTTTTCGTAAATTAAAAAACTAAATTGTAGGTACTTATAATTTTAAGAATAAAAATAAACAATTTCTTATAATTTTCAAGAAATATTTTTTAATAACTTTAAAAATTAAATTAATGGATGCCTAAAAAATATCACGTTTGAATCATATAAACCTTGGGCCCGGTTTTACCTGATAGAGAGCATGACTTAGCTCTTGCCTTGCGATGTGCAATTGTTGCTCCAAAGCAAAATTAGATAGCATTAGTGCATCCCATTCCTATAATTTTGGAAAAACCAAATCCTCATAAGCAGAAGACTACATAATAGTTTTCTGTAATAGAAAGACAATAACATGATAAAAGTGCCCAGTTTTTAGGTTTTTCCTAATCAATTATTTGAAAAATCTGTATGAAAATAGATGGTAAAAAATTAAAAGTAGATTTGATATAATAAAAAGTGGTCAATGACAGATAGAAAATGAATACCAATTCGGGAGCACATAGAAAAGTTCATATGGAAGATGTTGATTTCATCCAATCCATTAAAATTCATACACTAACTTACTGTATCAAAAGTAAAAGACAATGCATTTGAAACACCCGCCCAGAATAATGCAATATTGTCAACGAAGTTCAATATCAAAATCCAGATATGCCCGTTATGTAGAGTAGTAGCTTTTGGAGTATATTAGTCATGTTTTTGCAGAATTTTTTAGTCGAAGTATTAGACTCTTGTTAATGCAAAGTTAAAAGTCATAACGATGTGGGTAATAAGTTTCATAGCCACTGTTGGTCATCTACCTAGATTTTAGAGGGAAAGATGCTATTGTTAAAGTGAAAACTCTTTGCCCAATTATGCATGCTTAAGTTTCATTCTACAACAATGTACACAAATCAAATTTATTTATCATCCATCTTATCCTGTACATAAAAGTTCATAAAATAGTATACATGTAAATGCATAAGTTATGAAACAACCTATTAGGTCAACAAATAAAACTATTTTAGTCCAACTCATCTGTATCACTTCATCCAAAAAACTCTAAACTTATTTACAGATCTGACTCAGTCTTTGACAATCGTGAAAGGCCCATCCTGACAATGACTAACATATTTTCACGGTTTCAGCTATCACCACCTAAATACTTTCCCTTATCCATGATATATAACTGCATAATTTTTTTTCTTCGTGACACTATCCAATCAAAATTAACCAGAATAGCCCTGATGATAACACAGAATGGTTGATAGTTGCCTATGAAACAAGAAAGGATATTGATATTATTTATTAACAGTTCCATCGACCGTCAGTGTCAATTTCCTTCATCATAAATTCATAATTATGTATTGAGAAAAACGAAGAAAATCCCCCTGGGCATACTCAATGTCTCCTTCGCGTGCGGAAATGCAGCTTTAGAACGAATATTAAACCAGATATTGAATGAACAGATAATAATAACTTCATAGTGTGACTTGTGAATGAGCAACAAAAAGGTGAACATCAAAGTGCATAGACCTTCTAAAAACACAAACAGGTAAACAAAGTTTTAGGTCTCCTCGTAATGAACAATGAAATCATGTAAAAAAACCAAAAAAACTATAGAAGATCCTGCAGTAAACAGCCTTAACCAAATCATTTGTCATTGCAGGGAAAAAATATTATATCAAGGTATATATAGCTGAATATTCATACATTTTGGATCATTCCAAGCATGCCATGGAGGCTCGTTGCCTGCACAGGTCTGGGCTTCACTATCTGCATGACAAACGATCCTGATTGAATTAACATTCCGTAACGTAATTACGTAACTGATGATTTTTGGCGTAACTACGAGTAAAATCGTTAAAATATATTACTTGAATAGTTAAAAATAATAATTAAAAAATTAGATAAGACAATTAAGAAACAGAAAATTAATAGTTTGAATGATATAATATAATAAAATTTACAATATTCTAAAAGTATAATTTATAAAACAATCTTATAATTAGATATAAATAGTTTTTTTTAGATTATTTTTAATATTTTTTTAGATTATTCTAAAAATTTGTTCCATATTCTAGGAAAAACTCTAATAAATTAAATAAGATTTAATTAAACTCAATTCTTAGATTAAACATAATAAAATTTTATTAAAAATATTTTTTAAATAAAAACTTACCATGTTAATATAAATGCTTAAACTAAATTAACCTATAACTCTTAAAACTAAAGTTAACAATTTTTTATTTAAATATTCATAGCAAATGTGCATGGCTTAGTCTAGTCTACTTATAAATTCAACCCTAAATTCAAAGAACATGATAAAACTGATTGCTAGAGACGACGATACCTTGCCAGTTTTGATGGGTACAATGTCATCCATAGTAAGTGGTACTCCAGTAACTGGACACTTGCCATATTCCTAACAAATTTTTACAAAAAATATTCAAGTCAGATAATTAATAATATGCATTTACAAGTTCATAAACACCAGCAAGAAAGAAAATTAAGACCGTCGTATGGATGACGTACGATAGAACACAACAGCAAAAATCGTAGTTAGAAATATGCATTGCAATTAACATGAACAAAAAGTGACGTAAATTCGCATGCATTGGAAACGGTCCCTTCCGATCCAAATCCGTTTCCTATAATTTGTAAACAGTAATTCTCATTCGTAATGCAGAGAATGGCAAAATAAAGTAACGGAAAAATAGAAAGGAGAAAGAGAGAGAGATGGAAGTACGGAAACGTGTCTGTGAATCAAACGCTTCTCGAAGAGAAAGCCGGACTTAACGGAGAGGACGGGATCTTCCAGGAACTCGCCGGAGACTGCAGGAAAACGTTGGAGAGAGAGATTTCAAATTCTATAACGACAAAATGAGAATGAATGAATGAATGAATGAATGCGAGAAAGAGAGATAACTTACTGCAGCAGTTCATGGTGGCAGTGGAAGAAGAGACGAATGATGATTGGTGAAATGAATGAAGCAATGTTGGCGTTGGTAACGTGACTCGGTTTTTGTAACTTCCTTTCACGCTTTCACTTCCTAAGTTTTTGTATCTTACTTTCACGCTCTCGCCTACTAACTTGTTTTTCAATTTTTTGTGTTTACAGTTTAGGGTTACTTTCACGGTTTCGCCTACTAACTTATTTGTATTTGGTAAAATTTACGGTTTCATGTGCTCTTTGATAAAATTTAAGATATAGAGAGTTTGATGCCTTATCTGACGTGAGTAACAATTTGTTATTAATTTAGATTGATAAATAATAGAAATCAGTGGTTTAATTTAAAAAAATATTCATTTTTTTTTCTTTTAAGATATTAAAAGAACTGCAACTGTTAATTTGAAGAAGTATAGAATATTCTTTTAAATATTTTTTTAGTAAATACTGATTTATTTTTTAATTACGTGTATTTACAAATTTCTTGCCCTTCGGTCAGATTTTTAAAAACTAATTTTATTTCTGTAGTTAATTTAAAAAAAAACTAACTACAACCTTCAATAATTACAATCTTTAAAAAAACGTGTTCATATATATTTTTTGAAAATATAAAAATTTTAAAATTATTTTGAAAGAAAATCGTTAGTTTATTGAAATTTTATATTTTTCATAATTTAAAAAAAATTATATTCTGGTATGTAATATTTTTAAATTTTTTATTTAAATTAATTTTCTTATGGTGAACGTACGAGAATATTTTAACCTAACTTTTGGCTTTGAGTTCAGATTCTCCAATTCCAGATGCAATATGTTCGGAATGGGAAGTATATACATGTAATCTAAACCAAAATATGGGTCAAGAACTTCGAAAATAAAAGTAAAACTAAGAATAATAAAAATAATAATTAAATTTAAAATGGTCGCATGACTATCTTAAAATTACTATGCTCAATCAATATTAATTGTCAACTGTTCTGTTTCATTTTTTATCGTCGAAAGTCGGTAAAAGTAGCACTTCTTATTTTGCATCATGGAGGTTTAATGAGTTTGGAGAAATATTAATTACTGGTCCTATTCTACTAATTTGACCTGATTTGAAGTTAGTTTTAATGGATTTAAAATTTTAAAATTTGATTCAAAGTGTTTTGAAAATGAGTGCAGATTACATGTCAAAGTTGTCTCAAATCCACTCCCATTCATCCTGTCTTTTTTGTTTAATTTTACATTTTTCTAATGATTATGAATTAATAATATGAATTCTTAACTTAATAAATACTATTTTATATAATATAAAGGGGAAGTGTTAGAAAAAAAGGAAAGGAAGCAAAGCAGTAAGTCTAGGATGGTATCACTTTAACTATTGGCTCCCAAAGTGCCACTTGAAAGCCATCTATAAATAGTAAATACCAAGCAAATGAATATTGAAGAAGGCACGAATTTCTAGAGTGGTACTTTAGCTAGCATGAAGGGAATATCCAATGCAAGCAATTCTTCTGCAGCTCTGGAATTTAATACACCCGTAGTACTAAATAAATTTAGTTAGTTAGTTAAAAATGCAAAACCTAAGTGGAAGTGAAAAGTTGATAAATTAGCTTATTATATTAAAATTATTTAATTAAATTAATTATTAAACTAGTTAATAAATGACTAACCCTTATTTTGATTTCTAAGATAGTTAGGACTTGTTTAATTTAGTTTTGATTTTAAGTTTTTTAAAATTATATTTTAAAACTTTAAAACAATTTTATTAAACTATTTTAAAAGAATTAAAAGTAAAATTTGTTCAGTAATTTAGTTTTTAAAATTGTTTTTATTTGATCTTTCATTAGTTTTAAGAAAAAAAAAAACCTAATTTTATTTTTCAGTTTTTAAAAATAGTTTTTAAAATTTACATTAACAAACAAGCTTTTTTATTTTTAAAAATAGAAAACTATATTTAAAAAGAGAACAAACAAGTTGTTAGTGTTAGATAGTTTAATTTTTTAAAATTTTTAAAATATCATGTTATTTCTTAATTTTTAAATTTGTTGAGTATTTTAGTATTTAAACTTAGATACCGTCAATCAACATGAAGTGAATATTAACGTAATATATACGATTGATTACGTAATAAAAATAATATTGTATATGTTATTGTATATATTTTTATTTCAGGTTAATCCGTAAAATTATTATCGATAAGATATTTTAGTCTCTAACAATAATTACATTGAAGATTGTCTCAACAACATTAAACTTTATAGACATAACAAAAAAAGAATATGAAAAAAGCATATCAAATTTCATTCTTCCTTTTTCTCTCTTCTCTCTTTCTCTCTCACTTCATTTAGTTCCACCAAGCACTCACTCATCATTTCAACCTTCTCTAATTCCTTGAATAATCACATTTTGAATCCTAAACCAAAATCCTAACTCAATTCCTGACCTAATCCTCAAAAGTAGCAAGCATCATCCCATGTGGAGTTGAGGAATTACATTAATAACTATTTTAGGGATAGGATAAAGGTTCAAACAGAGCTTCTTGCTGCTTGCTGAACTTCAGTGAGATAGTTCAAGAAGCATTGGAGGGGTTTTATGAGGAAGGTAATGGATTGAAAGATGGAGAATTGAGAAAGATGAAGAAGAGTTACATTATCTTTCTAAATCAATTCAGGAAGAGTTTCATGGTTGTTTTAGGTTTTCTAAAGGCCTCACCTTTAAAGCTATAAAAGCTTCATTTTAAAGAAATGATTGAATATTTTTGTTTATTTTTTGAGAAATTTCTTAAAAAATAAGTTATTATTTTTTGTTTTTAGCATACTTTATTTTGAATCTACATATGATTTTTGAAGGAGTGTAACTGTAGCTATGGTCAAAAAGTTAGGATGATTAAGATAGATAACTAAGTAACTTCTAATATGAAGCATGTCCTTCTTTTTGAAACATTAATAAAGAAAAAATAGAACTACAAAAGGTAAGATCACAAAGAAAGATGATGATTGAAAGAGAATGAGAAGATTTGAGGTTTGAACAATAAAATAATATTTAAATCTACCAACATACATAGTTATATAATATTATGCTTCATATCTTTAGCAAAATATATGATACTTGTCACATAAAAATTTGATATTAGACTACTCTAAAATTAATTAAAGATAGTTTTTAAAAGATAAATATGAATCATATATAACATATGACATATACTTTGATAAAATATATATACAATTATAATAAAGTATGGAATTTAAAAAAAAAATTCATTGTTCCAACTAATAATTGAGTGGACGTTAAGAACAAAAATTTATTTTTTTAAATAATACTAATAATACATTCTTTGTAATATATTATTAATTATTAGCTAAATTTTATCAAAATTATAAAAAAAAATAATAGCGTAAAATATATATTTTTTAAATAAATTTTAAGCAAATAGTGTCTAAAGTAGATTACTAATATTTTTGTTTAAATGATGGACCAAACTCGACGTTTAAGTATACTTTCCTGTTAAAAACTTTAAAATCACTGCATGCATTTATGTTAAATGTATGCTTTCATAACCAAGAGCCAATTAGTTTTAATTGTTATTCATAATGATCTTCTTTTGCCATTATGTCATTGTAAGTAGGATATTTTACATGCATTTCTGGTTTAAGACTATTTTCCCTTAGGTGGGTTGGTATTTGACTTGTAAGCAAGAAAAGAAAAAGAGCAGAACATGTGCAAAGAAAATAATATGTACCTAAATTACCAAATTAATTTAGCTAACATGCATGGATATGTCTCAAGATGTAAATTAAAATAT